AATCCCTTCCTCTCCAATGAATGTAAATACAAACATCAGTTCTCTTCTTGCTAATTATCTCAGTGCTGGGGTGAGCATTCCAAAGGGCATGGAGGGAGAGAAAAAGGGCCATAAGATTTGCCCTTTTACCCAGCTTCTTCATGAGTTGAGTTCTGGAAGCCTTCCCTTCTGTTTGGGCTCACCTGGCTGTTTGGGGTCGTATCCTTCTGATCCTGTAAAGCAAAGGAAAGCTGCAGTAAAATTGTAAGCACAGTCATGGTCATATAACTTTCAGTTAGCAACTGTTTTACTTTACGACTAAGTCACTGGAACTAAGTGTGGTCACTAAATGAGGAATATCTGTACAGATGCCTACTATGCAACTGTTAATAAGAACTCTACTACTCAACCAAGGAAATGATCAGCATCTATGTAGAGCCTGGGTCTAAATTCAAAGCTCTGTGAATAACACAGAGGCAGGTATGGGCCAAGGTGGTTCTACACTTTATATGTCCCAGCCCAGGGAGTATTTTGGCAGGCTTCTGGCAGCAGGCAGAGCTGGAACTATCCAGGCAAGCTTGTAAGAAATCCAAGTACTTATAAAGACTAACATTTACTAAAGAAAGTTAGGAAGCCATAATCAAAAGAATGGCAATACTTGCTGCAATTCGGGAATAAGTCCTGTATATAGAAGCAGGATTCAAACCCTGTTCTGTTTCTTTGTCCTTCCTATCTTACATAATGATGGCTTGTTCCCACTGCTTTGCTCAGGCTGACCTGCTTCCATCTGTCCTTTGTTTTGTAATGGTCAGATTTGCTCTTATCTTGCATCTCATGACTATGTGAGAATTAATTCTCACATATTGTCAATACATGCTGCCAAAATTCAATAGCACCATCTTCTCTCTCTTTCTCTCTCTGGTAACTTTTCACATCATTTCAAATTATTTTTTGGTAATCTAAGACCTCAATGTTTTTTTAACAATACTATTTTACAACACTGGAAAATAGAGACAGTTTGTTGTTTGTTAGTCTTTGAGCTGTTACAACACAATTTGTTGGTTGTTTATAACTGAATAGCAAAGCTAATTCTTTAATCTCAGGATTAAGTCATGGTATGATAAGCATTGGTTTATAAAGGAAGCCACAGGTGGCTGGATTTATATAACAAATTAAACCATAAACCATAGTTTAGAAACCCCAGGAGCTGGGTTGAACAACACACCAAGCCAAATCCAGGTAAGATATGTAATAGCATAGCATATTCTGTGAATTCATCCTGCATGAGTTGTAATCCAAGGATAACTCATTCTCCCTTTTTCTCTGCTGCCTAAAAGAATATACAGTGGAGTAGAAGGGTAAACACAATCCTTTGGTACCTCAGTAACAAACTGTATGTATTTTGCTCAGGATATAGAACTCCACATTTCCTGCATTATTATTTTCAGATGGAGGGTTTTCTTTTTCCTTTAAATTAATCAATTTTGTAGCAGATTTTAACAGTGCTCTGAATTGGTATTGTAGTAATTATCCTTGTCATCAACTCTTACAGTTAGAAACAATGCACAGTGCACTGGAGACAGATTTTCCATTATGTTTTGGCAGCAAGAAGTACAACTGAACAATAGTTTTTGTTTTTTTTAGAAAAAATGTATTGGAGTGATGCTTGCAACACACAATTTCTGCAACAAAAGTGGAAAAAAGAGGGAGAAAATTAAAATAAAACATGAAAACCTCAAAATACATGTTGCAAGGGTATCTGTTAATAAAACTATAATTTATTGCAGATCAGACTGCTTTTTGATTATTAATTCAATTTCAAAAGTTTAGTATTTCAAACATATACCAACTGAAAATAATTTGTGATGGCAGTGGATGGAATGACCTGCAATGATGGAGTAAGAAGAGAAAATCCAAGGGGATGAGCAGGAAAAATATTCTGAGGTGTACCTAGTCTGCTAATTTTATGACTTTGCTACTGAAGAATAAAAACTAATTCTTGGGGTGGGTATTTGCATCCTGAGAGAGACATCAACTCTATTTTTTTTTTTAAGTATTGTGGTGCACTTCCATATTTATTTTCCACTTCCTTGAGAGGTTACTCAAGGGAGTGTTCAATGCTCAGCTCCTCTCCTTATAACAACCTATCAAGATAAGTTAGGTAAGAAGAGAGCTGGTGACTGATATAAACAAAGTTCACCATTCAAAGTCGGTTTCTTGATCCTAGGACTGATGCTTGCTCACTCAAAACCTCCCCTCCTTCTACCTCATTTGCCTCCTCTGCACACTATTGACATGAGATGTATATTTATTCTGTATCTATCTCTCCTTAATGAATGGATGAAAAACTCAGGAACAAGAAGATTCAACCATATTGGTTTCATTTGTGCTTGTTTGTATCTTTAGGGTGATCACAGTCTTCCGCCTAAATAACTTGACTCAGTATCTTGTTCAGCCTTCAGAATGGAAAGGAGGAACTCAGCATCAGGATGACATTTTATGTGCAGCATTTTTACCTCCACAGACTCTCGTCACAGGTAGAGGAATACTTAATGACTGATCTATTGCTTCAGTGCAGAACTAGATCAGCTGTTTGGTCTAAGTTATCTATTGTATTTTGTAGAGTTCAGTCACTTCTGAAACATAGAAAGAAGAAACGAAATCAGGCAGTAAGACAATGATGGCTCTGACCTTGCTTTTTTTTCTTTTATGTTTTTCAACTTCTAACTTAGGGAAATCCCTGGAACTGTGACATTTCTTTCTAGATGGTCCTACATACTAAGAAGAATAGAAGGAATGAGGTTTAAGAAATATGAGAGTGGGTATTGTAATGCAAACTCATAATCTCTTAAGTCTTAGTTACCGGTCTGTGTGGAAAGCAGATGTTCTACACCAGAGTCTCAGCCTCTTCTTATTCTACTCCTCTTATTACTGTTCATTAACTTCAGTTAAAATCTTTATCATGAACTTTTGTAGGATTACTCTTGAATGTGGTCTGGATACACCTAGGGTTGATTTCATGATGAAGCACTAAATAAGCACAGGACATTTGTGATTCTGTGGCTATATGGAGCTGTATTTCTTTTGGAAAAAATAATGTGTGAACTGAACCTCTGAGTCCTTAACTGGGTTTTTCTCCCATGTTTGCTCTATTTAAGACTTGCTGTTGCTGGCTCCTATTGCTTCCATCTGAGTCTGATTCTGGACAGTTATTATGAAGTTGGGTTAACAACGCTTTAATATTGGATGATTATTTTAATTTCATTTATTAATTTCATTAATTAATCTGTACCCTGTCAAAATCTTCAAGGATGCCCTATGGTTAACTAGCATAGCATAGCATAACACATCAGTAATTAAAATGTCCATAACAAGTTTAATTAAATAAGGATTAAAACTGGAGCAACCACAAGTGAACAATAAGGCACAGACTTCCAGAGGTTTTTGTTAACCTGTTGGTTTAGGATACACCTTGGAAACTCAGCAAGAATTTCTGATTTGTATTTAAGCAGAAATTTATGCAATGTTCTGTTATTAACTTTTACATCAATTGTCATATTTAGCATTGCTCAGTTAAGCCTGTATTTTGCAAACTGACTGCATTCCGGAGGAACAGATAGCTGTATGCCATGGGATCCTAAATATGGTGAACCTTCAAAAGAGAGAGAGAGAGAGAGAGAGGGAGAGGGAAAGGGAAAGAGAGAAAGGGAAAGAGAGAAAGGGAAAGAGAGATATAGTTAATAAGGAAAAGCAAAAACTGGAACAAAAGTTAGATGGGGCAATAAGACTGCATGACCCAAGACAAACATCATGGTTTAATGGTTGGGTTTACAGCATTCCTAACCTGATTGGTAAAGATATAGAAGCTGCATTTCCAGAACATGTTGACCTTGGCTATTTATAACTTTCATTAGTTTTCTTGTATTTAGTTGTATGAACCCAAGCTGTAAGGTCAGCTTATGGTTCATTATATTACATGAACCCAGAAAATGGGTTAATTCAGTAACCAAGGTAAGTGTGCTATATGTTTTCAGCCCTTTGTACAATAGATTTATTTTCTTATTAGGTAGTTTCTCATAGAACACTACAGCCATTCTAACAACCCTGAACAGTATTCCTACAGGTCTTTGCAGTCACCAAAACATAAAGCATTCAAATAACACTTCTCAGTCTTATTTTTAAAACCGATATGTATTCAAGACTCATAGCTGCGTATTGATTTCTTTGGTCATGCATTCACTTTTTATGATTCGATTCAGGGAGTTCTGATGGTGAGATTGTTGTATGGAATAACAGTACTGAAAATGCCTTCACTAAGCTGTGCTTCAATCCTGGAAGATCACTGAGATCCAGCTCAGGTTAGTGAGCATCGTAATGGGATATTAGTCTTAGTTTAGAAGCGGTTATTTTGTATAGGAAAGGGAACTAAATCCAGATGAAGACAAATGACTTTGCCTTTCACTGCATTGAACTTTTCCATTGTAGGTTGGTACCTGCTAGAAGTACCCCAAGCTGAAATCCATAAATAATTTGGGAAACTGTCCACTGAGTGATGGGGCTGAATTATGGTAGTTGGCCTGAGGCCCTTTGTGAGCTATGTAATGGATGGTCATACTTTCATGGTCAAGAATGGTAGAAATTGGAACCATGCTATTCAACGCATGTGACTGATACCCTCAGAGGTCCATGTTAGTATAAGACAAGAGATTATACTAATGTACATAAATCAACTATCCCCAGCTTGAGTATTCTCCAGGTGTGTGGGATTCAACTCAGCAATGGAGGAATCCAGGCTGGGGAAACGTAACACAAACAATTACCTAGCAGCACTAACCATATTGAATGTGTAACTGCAAGTGGAACAGGCCATCATATCTGTATGTAAAATAAAGGTACATTCACCAAGCATTTATACTTTGATCAGAAGTCCCAGAAAATAAAGGAATGCTAGCTTCTCTGTTGAAATGTGGGCACCTGCTATATACACAGTTACCTCCCTGTGTTATCTCCTTCTGTCATATTACTGCTTGGGAAATTATCATTTGTTTTTAATCTAGCAACACTGCAATTATCCTATTCTATGGGATCAAGCAGGCCAAGAAAACTTTGATCTGTGGAATTAATACTGAGTTCCAGAGAGGAGACTGTGTATGCCTTTGCTTGTCAGAGTGACAAAAGGCAGTAGCAACGATGCTGTTCCTTGAGATTGTTTGCTAATTCCCCATCACACTGAAAACAATTGCTCCTGTTTATTGTCCCAGATCTATGTCAGCAATTTTTGCGTTACCATCTTCAGCAGGGAGTATTTCCTTAATTTCTGCCTTGTTTTAGTGCAAGGTGATAAATAATTTCAGGGAGCCCTCTTGCAACTGAGCCTCCCCTCGAGGCTGTTCATAACCTGAGAAATTTCATTTGGCTGAGTCTTCACACACTAATGGTTATCATATATTAAGCAACATGCCAGCAGGCAATTCATAATTGCTCCCCATTCTACAAATCGCAACTTACATTATGGAAGAATAACTGGCGTATGTGAGATGGGGAGTAGGGGGGTTAGAAGAGTTTATTATAGTAGGAACAGAAATGTATCTTCAACTAACATTATAGAATGGCTTGACATATCACTCTTCTATTCTTGCCTTAAGCTGCTTGGCAATTTTTAAAAGGGCCAGCTATATAAATTTTAATCTTGTCAAATCCTACTGTCAAGATAGCCTACAATGCACAAGGCAGAATGATAAGAAAAAGAGACTTTTGATCTTCTGCACTGGTGTCAGTCGCAAGAAGAGAGGTTTTTCTTTTTTAACACAAATTGGAGATATCTAATTTTCACTAGATAAATAATCCCTTCATCTAGATGTGCCAGAAAATCATTTTGTTATGAATAGAGCTGAAATAAGGATGTTGGAGGAGGATGTCTAAGCCCTTAAAGACCTAAAACGTGTATGAAGACTGTAATGAACCAACAGAGAGTCATTTGGTGGCTGTAGAATAGCCCTAATTTGAAATGGCCCCTGACAGACCAAGTCTAGCATGGAATCATTTCAGTACATTTGCTATATAGGAGCCCATTACATTGGTGTTACATTAGCTGCAAATTTCTTACTATATTAAGAGGGAGAGAAGACTGAAAATATACTACGGTATACATTTGGGAGAAAGATAGGGCCAGGTTTTGGTCTTTGAGGAGGTACCAAGTACAATATATCAGAAACGGGGAGCCAGAATAAAACATCATATTATATATCATACATCATTGTTTCCTGTATATTTAATATGTTTTCCCTTCTGTCCCATTTAAATAGCTGTTTGGCAGCAATGTTACCAGAATGCTAGGGTCATATCCAAAGCTTAGAGAGGCTGTTTATGGCCTCAGAATATGAACCCTTATTTTCTAAGATCCCAGGGAGTAGGAGGTGATAGGAAGAAAACAAAAAGAAGAAGCAAATCAGGGAATGAAAGCAACTTACAGCATCTGTGACATAAGTTGTACAGCATAAAGATTAACTTTGAAAGTTGTACTGTCCCTGCGTGTTCCTGTGAATATAGGAGTAAATATTCTATATTTGAGCCACTGCAGATGGCAGCAATAAGCTGACCTTGAAAAAAAAAATGAAAAAGCAAGATCAAAGTGGATAGGAGACCACCAGGAAATCACAAGGCTATAGATTAGGCCAGGAAATTAAAAACAAACCCAAAGAAATTATGGAATAAAACAATGGCAAAGCACTTCCAAATTGTTGCCAAGAAAAGTACACGGTCATGTTTACATAATCACCAGGAGTCAAGCTGAATGTAAGACTCTTATTTTTATCTTACAGTTATATATACCTATGATACATATTTCAGTAATGATTGGTTCCAAATGAACTCTAATTAAAACCCACATAGAGGCACAATGTTATTAGTGAGTTGTTGTTTTTTTTAGCTTTTCTGTTGGTGGTTTAGGGTCAAAAAGAAAGAAAATTAGCTTGCTCTTTTTCTTGGTTCTTTTCTTTATAGCCTGCTATTCCAAGGCAGTGTTGCTTTCTGGTTGATGCCATTTTTAAAAGTCAGAATTATAAGATCATAGAACTGTCCATCTGGAAGAGACTAGAAGGATCATCTTGTCCAACCCTCCGCAATGAGCAGAAAAACAACCAATTAAACCATCCTGTAGAGATTGTGGTCCAGATGTCTTAAAAACTTTTAAAGGTGGAGAACCCACAGCCTCTCTAGGTAGATTGCTTTTTCTTATATTTAAATAAAATCTAGGTAGCTGCAACTTATACCCATTGTTAGTCCTAGATTCTGTGGTCATGGAGAATAGTCCTTGGCCGTCTTCCTATAACTTCCCTTCATATGCCTGAACACAGCTATTGTATCTTCTCTACATTTTTTCTTCATGCTGAACACCCCAAGTTCCTTCAGCCTATCCTCACAGGGCATGCTCTCAAGTCCTTCAATCATATTTGCTGCCCTCCTCTGAATCTGTTCCAACTTGCCAATATCCTTCTAGAAATGGGATGCCCAGAATCATATATAATACTCCAGACGTTGTCTTGTCAGGGCAGAGTCCAGGGAAACAAAGTTTTCACATTTCTTTCTTTGATAAAGTGTTTCTTTATCATCATTTATCAAGTGATGCAGGGCTGAACTATGTTAGTCCTTCTAGCAACTCTCCCACAATGCTGATTCATATTCAGCTTGTTGTCAATGACCACACCCAAGTCCTTCCCTCATGTAGTGCTTCCAACCACGAATCCCACATCTTGCATATATACCCTATTCCTCCCTAAATATAATAGTTTACATTTGTCTCTGTTGAAGGGTATCTTGTTCCTCTTACCTCAGACTTCTATCCTGTCCAGATTAGATTGCAATCCTGTTCTGTCTTCCATGGTTTTGGCCAGACCTCCTGATTTTATGACATCCACAGATTTTATAAACATCCAGGTGATTAATAAAAATGTTGAATAATATCAAATCCACTGGCTGTTCTTCATTAATGCTGAGTCTCTGAGAGGGGTTAGTCAGCCAATTGTAGATTTGCCTTCAGCTAGTGTCATCTAAGCCAGCTTGTCAATAAGAATGTCATATACAAACTTGTCAATAGCTTTGCTGAAATTGAAGTAGTTGATGTCCACAGTATTTATTCCCCTTGTCCCTTAAAGTAGTTTACCTTGTCAAAGAAGGAGATGAGAACTGTTTCATGTGAGCTATTTTTGACAAACCTGTGCTGACTGTTAGCAACTACAGCATTGTCTTCAAGGTGCTTACAAA